GAAGGTGTAAAGAACGGTCTTCATTCTCATGTGAAAAGTACTCGTGCGTTGGCTGGACTCAACTGTTTTCCCACTCACTGACAAGACTGTGTGCATTAATCAACAATAGCAACAAGACTTTTTGGTCCTACCTCATAAACGTAAGTGTGTTTGAAAGTTCAAAGTCTGACTGTGAGCTGAAAATGAAGACTGTAACAATCTGTCGGTCCATTTATTTTAAATTATTTTTTTAAAAACATTTTTGTTTGTAATAACCGATCTATGATGAAAGCCACTTTCCCCCTCTTTTAAACAACACTTTCTTTTACTTCTCCGTGATAAAAATAATACTGTCGTAAACTACACCTTCGTCTTCATGTGATCATTTGGTTGTTGTTTCATTGACTTTCTCGGCTTTCATAAGAACTGGTGTTGTTTTATGTGTACAAAACATAACATCGCGGGGGAGCCGCTGACCGCGAGGCCGAGTGCCCGCAGGTAGCGTAACCGGGGCGTGACCTCGTCTCGGAGGTCAGGTCGACCGGCAACTAAGAGATCCTGAGTGGAACAGCCGTGCACTATTCATTGTGATACTTTTTTCTAATTTTCTAAATGTTTCTTTCTCTCAGGTTGGTGATGAACTTCCCAATGTGAACCTGTATGAAGGAAGTCCAGAAAATGCTATCCCTGCATCTCAGTTGTACAAAGGCAAAAGAGGAGTCCTCTTTGCTGTAGTTGGGGCCTTTACGCCAGGATGTACACAAGTGGGTTTATATACACATTATAATATATTTTATATCCCATCATAATTTTGAATTGCTGTTTCATTATTCTTTCTTGGGATCAGCGTGAATGTTTTTGTTCATCGTGAGTGTATGAATATGCTATGTAGAGTGAATGAGAGAGAGAAAGAGAGAAGGCAAGTATGTGTTATAATTTATTTTTTAAAAGAGAGAGGAAGAGAGAAGCAGGTGGTTGTGTCATTATAAAATATTCCATATATATTATAGCAGACATTTTGTTTCGGTGCTGTTGTAGACATTAGACACAAGGAGTACCATGGAAGATAAACTGTGCTATCATTATTGATATTATTTTTATAGCCTACTTATTATGATTAAACTTTTATTTATAATTTATATATGTGTGTGTCTGGTGAAAGGTACCAAATGACACATTTTGAAGAATGCCTTTTTTTTTGTTGCTTTTTCGTATACAGAGATGATTTCTGAACAATATGCTTTGGGTTTTTAAGATATATTTTCAGTAGTTTTTGAGATATAGGTGATTTTGTAAGGCAGGGTACAGAAACAAAGTTTTAAGAAAAACTGCTTTAAAGTTTCCCCTTTGTTTCTGCTTCAAATAGATAGATCTACACTTCAAGACGGCCTGACAACACATTCGCTACTCACAAACCAACAGCTTCAAAGTGTTTATATTACGTCTTCAAAACAAATTCACCCACACCTTGAGCAAGAATTTTCAAACAATTAGATCTAGGTTTGCGCAGGGCAGAAAAAGGCGATACAAATTTGCTCTCCAAAAAACGAAAGGGTGTTGATGTGCTTGAAAACTTCGCTTTGTTTACCTGTTCTAGATATTCATGCACACTACCCGCCATTGGAGAGGGGAGAGAATGACCTAATTTTTGGTATGCTTTGTGATTGGGTCAACTTTATGAATGGACAAGAAAAACTATCCGCAGTGTCTACTCGGAAAACCGATTTTCTCACATATTTTTTGGGATTATGAAATATACTACGTGTTAAATGACTTAGAATCTTTGAAAATGCATTTTAAAGTGAAAGAAACTCAAGTTCTTGTAAATATTGATTAATGGCCAAAGAATCCATTTTTAATGGAACTTAGTTTTTGTTTAAAAATTCTATTTTCGACCTTTGAAGCCTGATAACTCGGTATCTTGCGTCTTTTGATACTTTTCACCAGGCATGCTCATTATATTGTTATTACCATATAAAAATTTTATTTTTGTTTATTATCATTATTACTTTAAATTAAGTTCATTTTTATTATTGTTGTTCTTATTATTAATAATAGTAGTAGTTATAGCATTAGTATTAATTGTTATATTATTTTTAAAAAACACTTTTTCAGTCACTTGGCACAATAATGCGCCGGTGAAAATTATCCGTTCTGGTCAACTGGCGCAGTTCGCCAGAGAAATCCGATGTAGTCACTCTCCTGGCTGGGTGACCAGTGGGGTATTTTGTACAACTGGCTGCATGACTGCAAAGTGTTAAGTTTGAGGAAGAAAAAGGTTTTGGGCCATTCTTTTTTCCATGACTCTCAAAGCCATTCATCCTTGACAAAATGTATGTTTATAGCAAATGTCGAAAAAGATAAAGATAGTCAAAGTTTAAAATTTGAATTGTACTGTTTTTTATGTTTTAATGGGCTCTGAGAAGAATTGACATAGATCTACATGCCTTGTTTTGCATAGACAGCTGGATCTATATAAATATTTTCTTTTTTGTTTCAGACTCATATACCAGATTACCTGTCGCTTCATGAAAAATTCAAGGTGAGTTTCTTTGTTCTTCATCATGTCAGTCATGGAATACAAATTTATGTAAAATCTGATGGGAGATTATAATTTCAAGGAAAGGGAGCAGTGGTTGATTTTTGTGTGTAATTGTATGATATTGGACTTTTAGAAAAAATTAATTGTAGTCTGATAATTTTTACCTTCTTCATTTGTATTGATGTTACAGTTGCTTTAACTAGTTTCTTGGTTACTGGTGACAATGATCTCTTTAAAGTCAATTTTTTTAAAGATTTTAAAATTATTTTCTATGACTGTCTTTTGCAGTAATGTTCAAGTTCATTTCCCTTTGTTATGCATGCTTTTATTATGCATGGTCCGTTTACGGTTGTACATGCCATTGCAAGATGCACTTCTGAAAAGAATGAATAAAGAAGTTTATTTTATATTCTTTTCACTTTTATTTCTTATAGGAGGAAGGATATGTGATCTCGTGTGTTTCTGTGAATGATCCGTTCGTCATGAAAGCGTGGGCGCAAAGCACAGAAGCTGATGGAAAGGTGAGCTTAGTGGTTGGGCTCACGTACTCACAACTGTAAGGTTGTAAGTTCAAATCCCATCAGGGGCCTGGCTTTCTGTTCTTTGGAAAGGCTCTTTACACTAATTTTCTCCACTTCACTCTGGTGGGAATAGGCTCAAGGCTATAGACAGTGAAAGATCTTGTCAGTTTGTTAGTGTCTGAACCTGTGCAATCCGCAGCTTACACTGTGTATGCTTTTCGAGAAGCCAACAATGTTTCTGCTGGGGTAATAATAGTTGTAAAGCACATAAAGCATTCTGTAAAATGTGGATATGCTATATAAATGCGATGATGATGATTATTATTATGATTATTATTATTATGATTATCATTATCATTATATAAAACATTTGATAATTTCTGTTCTTTTGCTATAATATTTGTGCTTTGTAGTACAGTAGTCTCCACCTAAGATCCCACCGCTTACAGTCCCAGTTCTCTTAAGATCTTGCTGTTTAAAAAAACCCCAGAATTTTTACTCTACAAAAGTCACCTCTAAGATCCCGCTCTGATTTGCTCTAAAGGTCTAAATGCGGCAAAGATCCTGCATTTCAGATCATAATTTACTGAACAAAAACACGGGTAGGCACAGCCGATCAACCAAGAGTAAAAAGATAAGATCATTGAACGGCCCATCGCGTCAAAGATCAGTCACTCTTGTTAAATGTGATCACATATGCGTTGTAAAACTCGATGAAACAGTACAATGCTTGCCTCAGACGGGATCATACCACGGTGTGAACTGACTGACCCCAAACATCGCACTCGCATCTGAGCTCTCCACCTAAACTTACATAACTGGCTGGGTGGCAAAGTTGTGGGAGACCGTTTTACCGGTTGTGGGCCTTAGTATGGGTCACCGTAGATTCTTCCCTTGGGCCGTCGGCTAAGACCCCACATTTTCCTTGGTCCCGAGCACTGGGATTTTAGGCGGAGACTACTGTATTAAAAAATATGAAATGCCTCTCATATTCATGTTGTCAGTTTTGCCCTCGCAGCATAAAATAGTAAGTGGTTCAAGGCTCTCCATCTGTCTTTACTTTCCATGTAATATGTCTTGTCTGTCTGTCTTGCACTTTCATTAGTACAATGGAACTTAGATTCAACAAAAACTCGGATTCAATAAAATGAGTTGGATTCTCCGATTTTTTAATTAATAAAAATCAGTAAAATAACTCGGGATTCAACGAAAACATAAATGAGCAAGCTCAGATTCAATGAAGTTGCTTGCAGGGTGAATGCTTGCAGGGTGAACTGCTTTATGTGACCATTCAGCTGCCTCCATTCATACCAACACAGGCACCCATGTCTTAGTGTGGGTCGGGGTCGGACGTGCTGCCAGCACATGTGTGATGTGTGACTGTGTGTGCGTGTGTCTGGGGTAATGAGGGGAAGGGGTACAAACGGTCCGGATGTGGAACTTCAGTAGAGAAACAAACGCGACACAGTTTTTTTCCCCGGCTACTGATCAATATTACAATGATAAGCTACTTTTGACATAGATCTACGTAAAGGATTGCGCTCTGGATTGGGGAATCAAACGTTGCCATATGCTAGGCTCTATACAGCAACATAACTTGTTTGGCAAACAGTACGTTATAGATGAAAGCTGACACAGGCAGTATGTGCTTTGGTGAGTTCAGTGTATTTTCCAGGAATTTTCCAGCAATTCTTTGGTATCAAAGAAACGTAAATGTCTCTCATTTGAAACCAAACTACTTTTGATTGAGAAAGTCGAATGCATTATACATTACTTGCTCGGTGCCTGTAATTGTCGACACAAAAACCTCATATTTGCCACAACAAACACTCGGATTCAACGAAATTGAAGGCCAGGCCCGACTTCGTTGAATCCGAGTTTCACGGTAATTTAAATGACTCTTATCGTGCTGATTTGCTTCTCATTATTAATGCTAAAACTATAGTACTTATGCATTTTAAACTGTCTCTATTAAATGTCCACAGATCAGAATGCTGGCAGACCCACGGGGTGAATTCACCAAGGCTCTGGGCATGGAGCTCGACTGTAAACAGTTGCTGGGAGGGATCAGATCTCACAAGTGAGTTTCAATGTCCTTACTTTACATGGATAGTTGGAGGGTGTCACTGTTAGGTCCTTCTCTTTGACTGTCTCTCTGTTGTTCCTATCTGTCTGTTTTGCTAATTCTACCTACACTGCACGACTATTATTGTGTCAACATACTTCATATTCGTAGGAGCTATTGTCGAATGTATGTCTAATAAGAAATACACACACAGACGAAGCACATACACAAGTACCGGCTTGGATAAGTGTTAAAAGACAAGGGATACATTGTGAAAGTTTCTCATCGCCCTAAAGTCTTTAGTCTTTTCATTTGAAAGTACCAAAGAAGGGAATTGCAAAAGTCAAATTAAAATAGAACAAGTGGTGTAGCCACTATTTTTTTTTTACACTTTCTTACAGATCATTTCTAATGTTGCTTATTTTTACTTTGAATATGAATGATGATATGCACAGTTTAGCATGATACCAAATGTTTTGATTTCTGGTAACTTTTTAGGTTTTGTATTGTCAGCAGCAGGCATGGCAGCTTTTTGTTTTGGTTTGGCTCAAACTTATGGCTTATTGTCCAACTGTTTTTTTTACTTGAATGACTTGTATGGAAGTTGTTGTGCTTATATCAGCAGTATTCATATACTGTGGAATGTTTGCATAGAGCTGATAACTCATTTTAAGTCTTTTTGAAAATGTTGATCAGGGCTTGTGCTCACAAAGTAGAAATTGCCTTTCTGAGGAAGGATCTCAGTGGAATTCCCAAATATAACAGGCTTTAAATATATATGGATGTATTTATTGTCTTCTGTGTAAAACTGTTTTTGTATACTTTTTTTCTTCCCCAGATATTCTCTTGTTGTTGAAGATGGCAAAATTCAGAGCATTAATGTAGATCCTGAACACACCGGCCTTGCCTGCTTGCTATGCATCAAGAATATGAAAGCTATCGACTCCTCAACGGGATAACATCGGTTTTTTTCTTCATATTTATTTCTACTCTTCTGTTTTGTTGTGACTAGGGTTTTGATTAGTCTTTGAATTAGGGATGTATAGGCTTGAATAACACTGGATTGTAAAATTTAACTTTTTTTCTGCAGCATTTAGTTTGAGACATGTTGTATTATAATTCGAAGTCACTAAAACTAAAAATGATATCAGTTTTGCTCTATCACGTCAAGCTTTTTTCTTTGTGGCATAACCACCGTTCTTGCAATGGGCTATTTAGTCAGACATAATGATAACAAATGCCAACCTATAATAGATGGACATCTTGGATAGTTTTGACAATAATTCCTTTTCCCTACTTCGACAAAATGCTGTGCTTAAGAATCTTTAAAAACTGAAGTCAACAGATTACACTAGATCTGCTATTTTGAAGTACCAAAAAACAAACTATGCTATTAAAACGCAGAACATGGTTAACTCGGAACATGATTGAATAAGCTTAATTTGCATGAAATTTGATTCTCATTCTTAAGCATGTAGACTGCTTTTACTAAAGCTTCATACACTGCTGGGAAAACCAATACTTTTGCTAGATTTTTTGGCTTTTTCCTCCAAAGTTTGAAGGTCAGAATGAGTAGTGATAGTGATTGGGCTATATTTTGAAGGGCACACGAGAAGGAATGATTCAGTTTTGTTATACTTGTAACTCAGAAACATTGGCGTAATTTGAATATTGTTCTCTTGTTTATTATGGAGGAAAAGTCACACGTTTAAAAGTTCCGCTCGTTACTCTGATTAAATAAAAAGATGTTTTAAATTTAAAACTATAGACTATGCTGTTAGAAATATCTTAAATTTTGTCACATTGACTGGAAATTTGGCCACTTTCTCAGCAAAAACTTGACATGGTATGCAAAAACTAATGTCATTTCTGAAATCAGTGGCCCATAACGAACTTAATACAAGCCTTAGAGATATGGCTGCTACATGTGTGTTGACCAGTGTAATCTTTAAATTGATGGATAATCAGAGTTTGCTATTTGTTCTTATGTGTAGAATCATAAGTTTCTGAAGATGATATTTTTGACTGAAGTTGGGGAATTCCAAATGGCAGATTTGCCCCTTTTTTTTTTCCTTCTCTGTTTTGCCTTTTTGATTTTGAGAGAGCCCAGTGTACAGTAGTGAGTCTCTGTGCCGTTTTTTAACGCTACTTACTAGATCAGACTGTTGCGGGGCAAGGCTGTTCTGTATTTCCCTTTTGTGGTGGAGCATGTGTGGTGCAAGCTGTCTTTTTGAACTTGCTTTCTTATTTCTCTCTCTCTCTCTCTCTCTCTCTCTCTCTCTCTCTCTCTCTCTCTCTCTCTCTCTCTCTCTCTCTCTCTCTCTCTCTCTCTCTCTCTCTCTCTCTCTCTCTCTCTCTCCCTCCCTCCCTCTCTCTCTCTCTCCCTCCCTCCCTCCCTCCCTCCCTCCCTCCCTCCCTCCCTCCCTCCCTCCCTCCCTCCCTCTCTCTCTCTCTCTCTCTCTCTCTCTCTCTCTCTCTCTCTCTCTCTCTCTCTGTGTGTATGGTTTGCTCATGTGTTTACAGGAATGTGATTGAAAGAATTCATTCTGTTGCCCTAACTGTATTTTATTGAAAGAAGTCTATAAGTTTGATTGATATTTTCAATTGATTGGTTGTGCAATATGATCTGCTGTGTTTTGGTTATGTTGTTTCAGTAGATTTATTCCTATTTCTATGGCTAGCGTTTGTGTAGTGCTTTACATTCTTTGTTTTCTCAGGTTTAATCACCCGAAGACGACGTAGGTGACGCTATAAACTCTACAATTTTTTAATTCCACTGTATTTCATCGTGTTTGGGTAGCATTCCTCTCTTATTTCAAATAACTTTTTCCGTTTTACTTTCACTCTTTTTCATTGAATGAATAAATGCATTTGTTTGTGCGTGTGTGTGTGTTTGTTCTTGTATCTCTTTGTGAGTGGAAGTATATTTAAAGTGTACTTGAGTAGAAGCTGAGTGATGAATCTCATTATTGCCTTTGTAAACATGTGGTGTCACTGAAGGTGGTAAGGTGTCGGAATTGAAACTCTTGTCTTTTATGAGGACAATGTTTGATCTCATTTGTGATTTAAAACGCATGTTCCACAATGTTTCAAGTGTATTGAGTAGAGGGATGTAGAATGTTATTCCTTCTTCTGGTGGCAATGGATTAAAAACCCAAGTGTTAAAGTCAAATTCTCTTGTTAAACAAATATACATCCCTTGTAGGTAGGGTTTTTTTTTGTTTCTTTTTCTTTTACATATATGTACTACTGCTTCCAACATCCAAGATAATTTGTTAGTAATTTTTCTTATCTTGACAATTGTCAATGGTTTCTGCGCTGTTTGCTCAACATTTTTTCTGACAGACTATTACTCTTTGTCTGGTTTCCTTCACCGATAAGGTGCACTGCAAAGGGAACTGGAAAAATGACTGCTGAAATTAATTTGCTAACCCCTTTTAACCAGGCTTTAAAAGCCATCCGTCCTTTATTTAAGGACAAAAAAACTAGTAGTTCCACTTTTGTATAACTTGAACGAAATGTTCTTTTGTGGAGCTGTTGTATGAATACTGTATCAGATAAAATACCTTGAATGTGAGTTCTCACAACTTTGCGCATACTGACAGACAGACAAACACAGCGATCCTTCTGTTTATGATCACAAATTCCTGTTGAATCTTGGGATACCCTCACTTGCTCAGTGCTTTACTCCTTCCTCTTATCCAACAGTTTATATACGAACTACAGTCTTAATTTCTTACTGTTTACTCCGAGTCTAGCCCTTAACAAGTGCTTACTTATCTTGGGCTTGATGATTTGTTGGTGTTCTAATGTTACCTATGAGTATATCGTCGTAGTCTGCTCCTTGTGATGCCTACTCATCTTCTATTGGCACTTTGGTTGGATTTGTTACCATAAATTGAAGGATTGCAAAAAGTGTTTTAACCAGTTCTCTCATAACTTCTCCAACTGATAGTTTCCTGGCCTCCACTAAGTCCTTCCATCCTCCCCCGGGATGAGTGTTGACTGCTAACTGACAATTATCAGTGGATCTATTTTGAATGAATTTCTTAATTAATTTTTTTTCTTATTCAGTGTCATTTGGTGCTGTATTATATTGTGGTCTGACACTTTCATGTGTGCCATTTGTGAACATTAAAAGGGACACCAACACACTAAACCATCTGAACCAACCATACAGATCTTTTTGTAGAAAAAGTATTTTACTTTCTACGAAGCAGCTTCCAGTTGTGTTTGAATTGAGGGTAATGTGTTCAAGTGACTGTGTCATTCTGAAACTATTTTGTTATGTTTACAATTTCTTGCCTTGAAATAAAAACTAACATTTTGAAAAGATATGTTTTTCTTTCAATGATTACTATTTCTAAGCCGAACTGTTATTTTTGCTTATTGAGTGTTTGAAAATTTGTAGAATATTACTGTTCATAATGTTTTGAATTTAGGATCAGAGGATGGAGGGATATTATGATTATTATTATTGTTATTTATTTATGCTTATTAGAGTTAAAGCCAGTGAGACTGTAAAATGTGGTACAACCTTATAATAAGGTTGTACCACATTTTACTTATAATAAGCGGATAAAAGTTGATGGATACTGTAGATCTCACTTATCTTGCTCAATGCCACTCTCTACAATTGCAATTATTGCTTATTGAAGAACACATGGCTAAATAACATTAATAGGTAGTTGTGGTGAGATAAAATGAGAAGTGTTGTCAGCTTTCTACAAGTAGGAGTCTAGAAAACTGAGAAAATAGACCAAGGAAAGGCTGTTCAAAAGCAAGGTCATCTCTGTTCTGCTGCATAGAGCAGAAACCAGGAGATATATATACAGTCGAACGGCATAACCCCCCCACCTTTTATACAGCGCCAGCCCCGCTTACTACAAGATTTTGCCAATGTACAAAAAGGAGCACCAATATAAACATAGTTGTTTGGTTCTTGATTAACTAATATAAAATTTGACGCGCTGTGCCACCAGCCAACTGACCGCCAGAGGTACACACTGCAAACGATGTACAACTCACTCTTTGGCTACTTGATAAGCTTTCTCCCGTGACAAAAACGTAGAGATAGAGAGAGAGAAGGCTCTTGCCTCTGAGTGTTTTTTGATGTTGGGCAGTTGGGGTTATACAACAGATGAACCCTGTTGAACCTGCAGTCATGCTGTTCCGTCAACTTCATGCTCATCCCAAGGGTGACGGTATAGCAAGGTTTGACTGTAATTATTTACAAAGGATGCCGACAGTAAGTTTCACATTAATATTTTTCATCAGTATTTACTAGGAGAAGATCTCTGACTTGAGCTGGTTTGACCTTTTTCTCCACAGGAAATGTTACGTATGTTTTATAGGGGGAGGGGGGGGGGGGGCAAAGACAAAAGAAAAGGGAAATAATTGGCCCAGCACAAATGACGATGGAACAGACGCACGTTAAGAAAGTGACTTGTGTAGCTAGAAAGGAGATTGTGGTGGAATCCCAGGGGTCGGAGGAAGGCCACAAACAACAAAACCAAGGTGGAGTCAGATGCGGGGGGGAAAAAGAAAAACCCTGCAAAAAAAAAAAAATAATAAACAAGGAAAAGCTGGGTGCTTCAGAGCAGACATAATTTGTGGAGAGGAATTTTTGAAACATTGTCTCCAGAGGAAACTTATTCTTTAAAAAGCAAAAGAGATATACATGTATTCCCAAATGACCTGAAACAGAAATCAACTAGTCACTGTCATTGTAATGTAACTTCATTGTTTTGAAGTGGAAGCTACCCTTGTGAAAACATTGTATGAAATTCAAAGTTCATTCAGGTATGTACAATACAAGACTTATTTGGTCTTATGAGGTATTGTTCACTTTCATCTAACTGCGGTTAAAACAAGGCAAAAGCAAAATGAAATCACTCTGTTTAATTTTCTCCTGTCTCTGCATACAGGCTAAAAGTTTGATGACTAACAGAATCAAAATCCCATTCATAAAGGTGATTGTAAACTAAAGTTCCGACTCATTTTAAAAAAAGATGTAGCCTAACATGGGGCAAAAAAAAAAAATGGTTGGAGATTTACAGCATGCACCTAAACATTAAAAAGTAGACTTATTTTCTTGCTTCTAGATACTGTTGTAACAGAAAGTGAACGTAAAGGATTATTGTTGAATGTAAAGAAAACAGAATGCATGGTAATATCCAAAAAAGCAGCAAATCCTAGTTGTAATCTCATTAGCAAAGGTGAAAAGATCAAACAAGTCCTACAGTTTAAATATCTAGGATATATGTATATGATAACATCTGATGCCAAATGTTCCTCAGAAATATAAAGGAGAACTACAATGGCAAAGGCTAGTTTCAATAAAATGAGCCCAATCCTGAAAAATAGAAACATCTCAATGAACACCAAAATGAAAGTCCTGAAATGCTATGTTTGGTCAACCCTTCTATATATGGCTGTGAATGCTGGACAATCACTAAAGACAGTGAAAATAAAATAGAAGCAACAGAAATGTGGTTTCTTAGGAGACTGCTAAGAGTATCGTGGAAAGAAAGGAAATCAAATGAGGTAGTGCTTGATGAAGCCCACATGGGACGCTCAATATTAAAAACAACCAGGAAACAACAAATGCAGTTTTTGGGACTCCTGAATAGACATAAGGGTCTTGAACATCTAGCTCTCACTGGCAAAATTGAGGACAAGCGAGGCAGGGGAAGGGCCAGAACAACCTACTTAGGGAACCTGAACAAATGGGTACCAGGGAAA